ACAGTATGTAGGAACATTTTACTATCTTAATGATGCACCCCATAGCAGAATACTGTGCCATTCTGACTTTAGACCAGGCACAACTGCTTTCAGCTGTGAAGCGAAGTTACGCTGCTCCTAGTGTGTAAATGTGCACAGCGTCTCTCTTAATGGGGAGTCGTACAGCATCTCTGCTCTGCTCTGATCTCTGCTATGTTCACATTATGCAGAATGTCCTTGATATCTTTTCTCATTAATGATGTACTGTTTCACCCACCTGCCACCCATCTGCGCATCCCAGGGTGTGTAACAGGCAGGGTGCACACACCCTGAACCCGCTTATGAAGGTGCATCTTTCTATCTGAATAATGCGCCTTTCAACTACAGGAAAATACTCATTTATAAACATTGTGTACGCACAAAATGAGGCCTGAAAGATGTGTATGCGACTTCCCAAGCAAAGGTTGTGATCTATAAAAACAGACTTGACGGGAGAAACTTTGACCCATACTTACAAACATGTTGGAGACAGTTAACTGGTGACACAGTTGGTGAGGTGGAAGCCTGATTGTGAAAATATTTTTTGGCGCACGCCTTTTTTGGCTTTTGTCCGTACGTAAAATTTTATTATGGATCCTATGCACTGTTTTATAAATGAGACTCGAGGTTTTTGTTGGTCAATGGCACAATCGCTTTCTGCTGCTTCAAAATAGTAACACACCAACAATGCACCTGAACACACCTCATTTTAAGCCCTGCACACCCATGGGCAAACAGATGGGTGCAAGCAATTTGGCTCCCCACACAACGTGGGTGCTGAGATAATGTCAACTGCATTGGTCTGAAACCAGAAAAGGTAGCTGTGCTGCACTTTGCACGGCTTTGTCCCAGGTGTAAGATAGGGCAGCAGAATTCTCTATTAGACGATGACACTAGTGACGATGATGATGAAATGTATGAGGTGATTCACTGTGAGAAGTTTTAGAATCACGGCGGTAATTATTTAAGCAGTACATGCAGCCTGTGAGGGAACAAAAACACTCCTCCTTAATATCATTACTTTTCAACTCGCTGCTGTTTTACAGACGTGCAGCCGCTCCGTCTCTCGCACCAGGTGCCAAACATCACATGATCATGAAGCCATTACTGTAACAGACAGTCGAAGGCGGCCGTGATATGTATCCCATGTCTGAAAAGGGGCTTCAGATTTACGTTTTCTTTCTCTGTACTCGTGTGTAGTTCTTCCCTCTCCTCCTCCACCTGTTGTGGCCCTTACCAGTTTTCATCATTCAGCCCTGTAATATACGACTCGCTCATAGAGCGCTGAACCCCAGGCTGGGGTAATTGAAATGGAAGACAGTGGCAGATGGAGGTTTTTCCAGACTGAGGTTCCCCGCTGGGTCTGTCTGTGTCAGCCCTGTTGGCGGTAATGTCCGAGGTTGTATCCCGTAAACAGTAACAGCGATCGACAGCTGCACCTGTAATCTGCTCAAGACCTGACTGACTTTAATGGGCTTCTGTTTCTTTGTTCCTGCTCGTTGGCTTGTTGTTGTTTGTTGTTGCAGGGTGGTGTAAAGTGATAATACTGTTTCACAGATTGGCTTGTTTCCAACCTAAATCGGTTCCACTCTGAAGTGCCTCAAAGACGATCTTTGGTCCTGCTGAGTTGAAGTTGCGTATGAAACGTACAAACGTATTTGTGGTTTGTAGAAACGTACAATTCCAACTTTTTCTTCTGGTGCCTGGGCTGGAGCTAAAGCTTTATTTCAATCAGGAGAGATTCACTTTTATAGTAAAAAGAATATTTATCAACATGTGCACATGAGAATGAAAAATGTGGATGATTTGGCGATTAGTCCCCATCAAGATGGTATGATAAAAGGAGGGTGATGAATCCATAGTTGAATAGGGAACCACCCTCGGTCTAGACGTTGGTGGTGGTAGAGGTGGTGAAGATAAGATGAGAGGAAGATGGAGAAGTGCTGATGTTCTGGATGAGTAGAGGAATGAACCTTTGTTGAGCTCGTCCTGGACTCTGGATATGATGGCTGCAGGTGAACGGGGTGAATTTGTAGGCACTGGGCCTGGGAAGTCCTTGAAAAGTTCTTGAATTTGATGTTGCAGAAGGTGTGGGAACCCTGCTTTACATTCTCAAGATTAACCAACTAACGGAACAAAAAATTCATTTGTATATTTCAAAAAGGAAAGAGGTGGAGAATGACGTGGAACATTTCAGACTAGATAATAAATATATTTGTTGTAGAAACACAAGAATAAATAATGAAAATAATTTAGTCATAGTCAGTTAGCTCCTGATGCTGTGTAACCCTGAGTGAACCTGTTACTGCGTCCAGATGTTTGGAAAGAGGGGAGGAGGAGGAGGAGGAGACAGACTGCAGAGAGAGAGGGGAGGGATGGAGGAGGTGGAGGGGGGGTAGTGCTTGCCAGCGGATGAGCCATCATCATGGAGTAGCCTCCTCACCAGCCCGTAAGTACCTTTCTCCCTCATCGCGCCCCGGTGCACCCGGCTAGCACGAGGCTGAGGAGGCAGGCGGGTGAAAGGGGAGCCGATCGGGTGTTGTGTTGTGATAAAGAGGAGGAGGAGGAGGAGGAGAAGGAGGTGGATGAGACACGAAGAGCAAGAGCGAAGGGGGATGGGCTGGGCTTTGTCGGTGCAGGCATGTAGACAGGCAGACGCATGCAGAGTCATTCAGAGCAAATTCAGAGCAAATTCAGTGGAGAACACAGCTCGAGTCGTCGCGTGTGTGTGTTGGTATTTAGGAGGCAGCTTGGACAGCAGGTGTGTGTGTATGTGTGTGTGTGTGTGTGTGTGTGTGTGTGTGTGTGTGGATGCATTGAGCCTATAGATGTCCATCAGTGATCGCAGTAGCATGCTTTTGATGTCACTGATGTTGCTCTCCGCCCCTCCATGTACTGCCACGTCCTCACACACTGTGGAGACATGCATCCTCGAGCTCACACCTGCATGCACGTACACAAACACATACACATGCATGCAGATGCATCAGGAGCCAAAAACAGGACAGGAACAGCCAGGAACAGGAACATCACCCCCTACAGTCTCTGCTGTTGCAGCGTCAGCATCTGACTGTTTAATTTCCTGTCTGATAGTTTTCCGTGTGTGGCCAGAAATCACAGCTAAACGCAGCTTCAGTGACGACTGGATGTCAGCTGCTTGTTGCTGCTTTGTTTCATCAGTCAGGTGCACTGGCTTAGATCAACACTGGGCACCTTAAATAGTTTCTGAACCAGCATAAAACGTTACACTTGAGTTATCAGTGGTAATATCAATAGAACATCACCATGAACTTGTGAAGTGATTGTAATGTGTTTGTTTGTGGCGCAGTCTGTCTGCACAACCTGCTGCCTCCTGTATCATTTCGTAGCCTCTAACTGAATCTCTGTGGTTTGGAGTTTAGTTTCTCTCCTGCGTCCTGTTTTTACTTTAGACATCTGCTTTATTTTACTGTTTCATGTTTGCTATCAGCCGTATTGGAAGTTGTGTGAAGCTGCTGCTTGAAAGCTCGACATTTCCTTATTTTGCTGCTTCACAATAAAAGTTTATACCCAACGAAATAACGGGGGATTTTTATTGTGAGGAATCTATGATCAATGAAATGTGTTTAACACTGAATTAGTGGCTTTTCTTCAAGTAAGACAAGTCGAAAATGGGTGTCTGTGCTTGTCCACTCTAAATTCAGAGGTTTTACGGGTCTGTGAATGCAGAAACTCTTTCATGAGTACTTTCTCCTCAGCAGCAGATTGTGTAGTTTGAGTCGTGGGGGGACATCAGATCGATGGATGATAGGAGCAGAGAGGCGAGTGGAGGCAAAGTTTTAGACTCAGCGCACTTGCTCCATTTGTGCCCAGAGTACACCGTACACTGAGAGTGTGGAGCAATGAATAACTTAACAGTATATATTCCAACAGCGCTCCTAATGTTGGTCCAGCTCCAAAAATAAATCAATATTTGGCACCAGGTGTTGATATATCGTGCTGGGCCTCCACAAATAAATGAATGTGTGGGAAACCCTGTCCACAGCTGAAATGTGATTGTCAGTGTGATTTCCACTTTACACTAGTCACCTATCACTAGTGTCACATTCAGAATGACCAGCGACATATTTTGTTCAGGGCAACGATGGCACAGGCAGACTGAACTCTGGATGTGTCTACAGTGCAGTCTGATCCCCCCATCAAACACCCCCTCCCCCCGTTCTCTCACACACACGCATGTACACACACTCTGATCAGAGAGGTGGATTTTGGATGCATGCTCTCACCGGCTGCAGTCACATGACGGTGCAGTGTCACCCTCTCTGCATTGTGTTGGTTAGTGACCTGACCTGAGAGCTGAACTGGAATGCAGCCTCTCTCCCAGACACCACCCAGCTCCCAGTCAGATGTAGGTCAGCCCATAGCTCTGCTATAATGCCTCCTGTTGTGTCATACGTGAGAATGATAGCAGCTCTTCTCAGACACCGCGACGAGCCGCCACAGTGATAATCTGTGGCAAAGAGCCGAGTGTAGTGCTAACAATGGCAGGGTGATGGGTGTGATTCTGAGTACGGACTGCCAAATGTAAGGTTGTCCTCCCGCTGCATGTCAGAGTCCCAACTCTGATTATTTATGTGTTTGAACAGTGCAAAGATGCACAGAGTTGACCTGTCGATGTCAGAGACCATGCTTTAAATAAAAGGGGATTAATATCTGCAAAGATTGAGAACATATGCAGAAAATGCGTCTTAACCTTCGCTTGCAAGAGAGATGAAAATTGAAGCGATTTAGCCGAAGAAACATTTCGAATAATTTGATAATAGAGTTGTCACAACCCAGGAGGACTTTTGTATGATACTGGAATCATGTACAAAGTTCAGACCAGTTTTATAGGAAATGAAGACCAGAAGAACAAAACCAGTTGACCAATCTCAGCTTTGATGATCTTTGACCAGCGGAACTCAAGGGACACCTTCTGTAACGTGACATCTCTCTCTCCGCAGGGTGAGGAAGCTGAAGGAGACGCTGGTGACGGTGCAGCAGCTCGACAAGAACATGAGCAACCTGCGGACGTGGCTGTCTCGCATCGAGGCGGAGCTGGCCAAGCCGGTGGTCTACAACGTCTGCCACAGCGATGAGATTCAGAGGAAACTTGCTGAGCAGCAGGTGGGTGAAGACAAACAGTTCTGTTTGAGCAGCTTATTATTCAATCATGAAAGTGTGTACAAAGTTTTAAAGTGGTCACATATCTAGTAAGGGAAAAAGTGAGGTCAGATGGGCTGTGGTTCCATACAGAAGCAAATTGGGAGAGGTTTTTTCAGGTGGCCAGTTCTGCATATAGAAATTAGCTAAAGGAGTACTTAAGCCTCCAAATAACTATTTGTATATCAGTTACTCAGCCTGTCTTACACTGAATTTGTAAGTAAAATTTTGTTTTTTTCGCACGCCTTCAAAGTGAACGAAAAATCCAAAAAAAGGAGAAAATTCTTGATGAATTGTTGATGATTGATGATTAACAACAGCAAAACTACACTGCTCAAAGAAATCAAGGGAACCCTTAAAACACACATCAGATCTTGATGAATGAATTATTCAAGTTGAAAATCTTTACTGACGTACACTGTGCAATTTGTTGAGAACAAAATGGCATAACTACGGTCAATGAAAACCAAAATCATCAGCCCACTGAGGGCTGGATTCAAAATCACACCGAAAATCAAACAAAAAAATTGAAATCACAGGCTGATCCAACTGGGACGGACACTGTGGAGCATGTGCCGAGTGCCTCAGCTAGTTAGGAAACAAGAGGTTGGGCACTGGGCGCTACTCTTGTGCCTACTATGTACCAACTTTTAAAGGTGCAGAGGCAAGTTGCGTCAGAGGTTGCTAAACAACCACAACCAGCACTGTATCATGCCCTACGTACCAGAAATCCTGAGTGCAGAGCTGATCTTCTTCCAGACGTTGTTTTGTAAGAGTGCATTAGGCCAAAAATATTGTCCTTGGGACGGCGTCGCTTTGGCGTTTGAGCATGTCTGCTGCACGTCTACATTGAAAACACTTATTTGAGGGCACAAAAAACACGGCATGTGTCCGGCCCCTTAGTCCAACTTTGAGAAGTTTGATTTGGTCGATTTCAGTCAGACTAACTTGTTTGAATGTGTTTTAAAAGTCCTGTTTTAGTCGGACAAACACAATAAATTGATTTCCTCTGATGTCATGTAAACGTACTGAATGTTAGGTGAGCACTTCAAAGTTTCCTGCCTCTGTCTCACTTCTCCGTCAGCGTCAGATTGACAGATGCTAAATGGTTTATTATGTTTAGAGTTATTCACCGAACCAAACTGACAGAGTTCAGGAACAAAGGTACAATAAATAAGCATAACAGGAGACTCTGGTGTGTCTTTGTGAAGGGATGATGAGACTTATGAGTTAAAGAAAACTTTAAATGGTAATTCACAGCGGTAGCAAATATGGAACAGCACCTCCTCCCACCTGACACCTCCATCTAACCACTGAGCTCAGACATCCTCCAGGTGAAAACAGGCTTAAAAAGCTTTACGATGGCTCAGGGCAGAGTGGAGACTCCACTTAAAGGGGAGACATGGCAGGGAAGTACCTTACTCACACACTAGTGATGCACGCCGGCTTTTAAACCCTTTGTGTTTCGGCCACCCTGTAGTGGTTCACGGCATAATAACAGAGGAGCAGCGTAATGTGTGCTGCTAAGTAAAATCTCAGCAAGCTGCAGGACAGAGGGGTGTTTGTGAAGGAGGAAGCTGTCACACTGGGCTGAGAGATGGTAAATGGACTGAGAGCTCGGCCTCAGACTGCAGCCCAAAGAAAGAAAATGGACTTGTGCTACTTCACTGAGAGGAGAAAGGTTTGGGGTGTGAGAGGAGGTGGAGGGGTGGAAAGGGTTAGAAAGAGAAATATTCAGACAGAAGAAAAATGAGATTTGATCTTTTGGCAGGTTTTCTACTTCACCAGTATCAGACTGTGTCAAATGTAAAGCAGGATTTATACTTCTGCGTCGAATTGACGCCATACCTACGCTACGTCATACCCTACAGCATAGCCTGACATGCACCTCCCCGGGAATGTAACTACACTTCGGGGTGACACAGACCTCCTGTCTATTTCTGTAAGCTGAAACCATTTCCCTCAGTGGAAACAAAGCTTTGATTTACTTTAATTTCACAGATAAGAAACAATAAATTATGAAGACAATAAAGCCTAAAAATAGCATTTTAAGTCTTGTGTGTGATTTATCCTGGCTTCATATGAGCAGAGGCTAATTTATACAATGTAAAATGCCATAGGCTGGCGCTAATAACGATAGAATGTTATATTTGTTTGGAAAACGTGTTTAGTATAAGACAGTTGTTTTGTCAGTGAACCTTGTGAGTTGTAATTGAGCTGAATTTTGTAACGTTACCTTTGTTAAATGTTGCTGTTGTCCCTGGCTTCATATGAGTAGAGGAAAAGTCAGCTAGCTGCTGGGCTAATTTATACAATGTAAAATGCTATAGGCTTATGCTAATAACATTATCATGTTGTATTTGTTTGGAAAATGTGTCCAGATAAAGACAAGTGTTTGTCTGTGAATGCTGCGAGTTACAGTGAAGCTGATTTGTGTACTTGTGTTTGACATTGTCTCTATTAAGCCATGTTTAATGTGGGTTTAATGTGTGTTTAATGTGAGTTTAATGTGTGTTTTGAATCAACTAAACTAAACAGCACTTTACTTCACAATGGCGTAGGCCACGTGTGTCGGCTACGGCAGTATAAATCCACCTTAAAAGTGAGAAATAATGACCTCATGTACCTACATAAGATTACACCACAGCAACATATCAACAAGGACAGTACTGTCAGAAAAAAAACACCAAAAAGTCTCTCAAACTGCCATCAGCGTAAAGGCCTCTTTCTATTACACAAGACTTTTAGGGCCAGGCATAAGTTGAAAAAAAAAGATAAGAGGGAAATTTTAATTTTCACTTTACTGTTTACTTGAATGAGAAAGTGCGTAGGGACTTTTGACTGGCTCTCTACATTTGAATTTAATGGCATAAAAATGCATCTCTCACACAGAAAGTGTGCGGGGCACCTTGTTCTCATGACAACAAAATTGGTCAGATGCTCATTTGTTGAAGGCACTGATGATTTCCTGCTAATCATTTTCTCTCCTCTCCAAAACACTTAACACGTGTGCAACGAGGGTTTTGACAGAAAAATAAAATTCACCTGAAATCTTGAGCAGCCTGTCTGACTTTGGACAGAGACATATCTGAGGAAAGAATACATGTCTGGAGAAAGAAATGGTCTGTGAAAGAGAGAGGGAGAGACGTGTGACGGACATGCAAAAAAGAAAACACGAGTGAACTGGTAAAAAGTGAGGAAGAAGCACAGCAGAGAGCTGCGCCGGCTGAAAGAGACGGCGCCTCAGAAAAGGCTGCAGCTCTCTCCATTAGAGGATGAAGGATGGCTGAAATGACTCCTGTGTGGATGGGCTCTTTAAGCTTTCATCTGTCTCCATGGCAACCCAGAGAGTGGTAACTTTGAACAACAAAAGTGCTGTCAGTCTTCAGAAGGAGCTACGTACCAATTCCCTCTCACCAAAGAAGTCCCAATGTGTTGTTGAAGTCCTGTAATGATCTCAGAGCTCTGTGGACGACTGACAGTGAAAACCATCAGCACATTAGAAGTTAATGTTTGTTAAGTCTTGTTGTTTCCCTGTTTCACTCCACTGCTGCTTTTAGGAATGACTGTTGTTCTGAACATCATCTGTTGCACTCAGGAACAAATGCTTGTCTAAATTATAGTTGGGTTTTTTTTGGGCAGCTGAAAACTATTACTGTATTCTTCTAAGCATCTTGTTGTATCAATGTGTAAATGAGCTGCATGTGAGTCCATGTGACTGAAGTGTATCTGTGCTGTTTGACCTGCAGGATCTGCAGCGGGACATCGAGCAGCACACAGAGAGCGTGGCGTCGGTGCTGACGCTCTGTGACGTCCTGCTCCACGATGCAGACGCCTGCGGCAGCGACTCGGAGAACGACTCCATCCAGCAGACCACCCGCAGCCTGGACCGACGCTGGAGGAACATATGTGCCATGTCCATGGAGAGGAGGATGAGGTGAGCAGTCAGATGCAGCGTTAATGTTTAATTAGGGTCTAAAAATAAAGTGAAATCTCCTGATGATGTCTTTATAATGTCAGGTTTGGTCATAACAGAAAAATAAGACCTGACATGGTGACCTAATCAGGGTGTTTACAGGTCCTTAAAAAGTCTTAAATGGAAATTTCGGTTTATTTCAACCTGTCTCCTATCGTCCTAAATTTGTTTCAAGTGACTAGTGAAATAAAAATAATAGTTAGCATGTTAGCCGTTAGCCTAGATACAGCCGGGGCGCATAGTAGCGTCAGACCTGTTAAAACGTAAGTGAACGGGCAACCTTCAAGTGCAAAGTTAGTCCACTAAACAAGCTTTTTTTCCACAAAGACCGCCTCATATCGTTAGGATAAATGTCAGAGAACATATAGAAAACGACATGTAAACGTGTTGTCTTACCTTACCGGTGTGCTGCCATGTTTGTTTACCATTTAGCTCTGCTTTCCAAAGCGCGGCCGAAATATCGCGAGAACAAGCAGCGATCTCATACCGTGCCTGAAATCTCGCGAGAACAAGCAGCAACAGCTGGAAGGCAGAACCGGACAGTAGCCTGAAAAGTTCATTCATTTATTTTATGAAAGATTTATAGAATAATGGCTGACTTTTTGCCAGACTTCGACTTTGTGGAGGAGGAATTTGATTTTGCAGAGTTTGATGGCCGCCCTTATTTATTTGAGCCAGAATACACTGACGAAGAGCTTCGTGAAATTGAAGAACGGAGGAGGAGAGAGAGAGAGGCGCAACAGGTAGAGGACGAGAGAGGAGGAATGGCTGCTGCAAGGCTGCGTAGCTCTGGAGATTGGTGGTGTACCTGTGAATGCTGTGCCCCAGTGCCCACAGAAGAGGAATGCCTCTGTTGCAAGGAATGGGACCGGTTGCAGCCTTATTTTCAAGGTCTGGATGTGACCGAGGACGAGACATCTCCACCTGGAGTAGTATCCAGCTGGGCTTTATCTAGAGCTATAGAAATTTCAGGCACGATCGCTGCTTGCTCTTGCGATATTTCGGCTGCGCTTTGGAAAGCAGAGCTAAATGTAAACAAACATGGCAGCACACCGGTAAGGTAAGACAACACGTTTACATGTGGTTTTCTATATGTTCTCTGACATTTATCCTAACGATATGAGGCAGTCTTTGTGGAAAAAAAGCTTGTTTAGTGGACTAACTTTGCACTTGAAGGTTGCCCGTTCACTTACGTTTTAACAGGTCTGACGCTACTATGCGCCCCGGCTGTATCTAGGCTAACGGCTAACATGCTAACTATTATTTTTATTTCACTAGTCACTTGAAACAAATTTAGGACGATAGGAGACAGGTTGAAATAAACCGAAATTTCCCTTTAAAATGTCTTAAATTAAGTCTCCTAAAATAAGGCCTTAAATTGTCTTTCATTTAGATTTGATGGGTCTTAAATATTTTCGGTCCTATGACTGTAAATTTCTCCAAATTTCATATAAGATGGTATAAAAAGGTCTTAAAAAGTCTTAAATTTAACTTGGTTATATTTATATAGACACTTGTTAATACTCCTACACAAAGTAAACATACATAAATTTATATAGAACTTAAGTGATCAGTCAGTCGATCTTTATACTGCATGTTTCATGAAGAACAGTTGACACAGAAACATATTTTTAAATGAATGTATTTAAATGAACTGTCTCAGCTGCTCACTTGACCTTTGTCATCACACAAAAAAAATTAAATGACTGATTGATTCCAGGATTGAGGAGACGTGGCGTCTGTGGTGTAAGTTCCTGGACGACTTCTCTCGCTTTGAAGACTGGCTGAAGACAGCTGAGCTCACCGCAGCGAGCCCAGACTCTTCTGACGTCCTCTACACCAGCGCCAAGGAGGAGCTCAAGAAGTTTGAGGTCAGGGGACAAATCTCTCTCGCTCTTTTTTTTTTTTCTTTAAATTTATTATTCTTCCAAACTTTAAACTTTGGCAGAATACAGGAAAAAAAGACCATAAATTAACATGAAGACCAGTTACATGTCCGTTCACTTTACATAAATGATTTGATGTTTGTCCTGATGACGATGGTACAGAAAGAACATATTCATTAAAATCAGAAGAGTTTATCTGGTTGCTAACCTGCTCTGTAAATTCTAGTTTTTAGCTTGATGGTGGCACTAACAGTGTCCGCCACCTTAAAAACTCATCCTCTGGGGGGCATGAGTGTAAATGTAACAGTAAACTCACTATTAGATTCAAATTATTTGTGTACGCATGACGTTTTGACCGGATGTTGGCACCAGGGGAAAGGTTCAGGGAATAAACAAAGATTTTTGGGTCCTTGCTAGTTGCCATTATGTTGTCAGGTGTCAGGTGCAGGTGCGCCTGACTTTTAAAGGGAATAGGATTCAAATAAACACAAGAAGTTTGTGCTCTAATAATAATAAAAAAAAAAAAAAGGGATCAGCGCTCAGTGAATAATCCTCCTAAGCCCTACGATAAGCTATTATGGCAAGGCTTAACTATACAGACCCGTGAGCAGTGATAACTAACATGTCTTTGGGGTCATCGGGTGGGAACCTCCTTTCACCGGTGTTTCGTCTAGTTAGTCCCACGACACCTCCAGGAGGCTAGACAGTGATCTCTGGCGTCCCAGAGACACTCCCCTAATGCCAGGTCTCACTGCTCCCCACACTAACCGAACAACCTCCTTTACCTTACCTATACTACCACAGAGGAGGTAGACCCAGGGAAGGAAGCCTTGTTAGGCTATCACACTCCCCCGCCGGGTTAGGCTGTACAGTCTACCTCCCCAGGACGAGCCCTCACAACAATGACACCTCCAGGAGGCTGGACAGTGATCTCAGCCCAAACAGCACTGCCAACTTCAACCAAGCCCAGGCTCCGTTTATGCGAGCTCCAGGCAGAAGCAATGCTGATACTACCTTTACTAGCACATTCACCATACTCTATTTCACACGCTACATAGCATAACTACAATGTAAGCTAAAGTTAAAGGAGATAAATGAACTCACAGGATCAGCAAACACACTCACTTTGCAGCATGGTCTCAAACAAAATGGATTCAAATAGGCCACTCCCACACTTAAATAACCTTCCTCTTCCTGGATTTCCTTCTTACTTACACATGGCTTTCTCAGCCCAAACAGCACTGCCATCTTCAACCAAACCCAGGCTCCATACATGCGAGCTCCAGGCAGAAGCAATGCTGATACTAGCTTTCCTGTCACATTCACCATACTCTATTTCACACACTACATAGCATAACTACAATATAAGCTAAAGTTAAAGGAGCTAACTGGACTTACAGGATCAGCAAGCACACTCACCTTGCCGCATGGCCTCAAACAAAATGGATTCCAATAGGCCACTCCCACACTTAAATACTTCCTCTTCCTGGATTTCTCCTGACAGGAAGTGGATCTCTCCACCTGATCTCAAGGAGTTATGTGCCCTGCTTAGTAGTTCCCCCTGCTGGCCCCCAGCTGACATTATTTCTTCTGTAATAGATAAACTGGCTGCATTTAATTGCTTCATCTGACATTTCCCTCACTGTCTTCCTCAAATTCTGTCCCCGCACTCCGAGTTCCCCCAGGAGTGAGACAGTTGATCTTGCTATGAATCCCCTACACCCCACTTCCACTGGACAAATCCTAGTCTTCCATCCTCGCTGCTCAGCTTCTGCTCCTAAGTCTGCATATCTAAGCTTTTTTCTTTCATAGGCTTCTTCCACTGAGTCTTCCCAAGGAACTGTCAGCTCAATGAAATAAACTATCTGTTGACTCACTGACCACAACACTAAGTCAGGCCTCTGCCTGGTACAGACTATTTCCTGAGGAACAACAAGCTTTCCCCCTAAATCTACTTGCATTTCCCAATCACAAGCACCTTCTAGGCGGCCACACCCTTGCCTCCTCACTAACTTATCCCTTCTGTATTTCTCTCCCTCACGGACAAACTGAATTACTAAGCCCCTATCCTTAACACCTTCTGAATTCACCTGTCTTCGTTTCCCTTCGATGCCTGCAGCTAAACATTTCAACACCTGATTATGTCGCCATGTATATCGGCCTTGTGACAAGCTAACTTTACAGCCTGACAAAATATGCTTTAAAGTTGCGGTACGTGAACACAATGGGCATGATGGGTCCTCATTTACCCACAGTTTTAGGTTCTGGGGGGTTGGTAACACATCGTATGTAGCCCCTACCAGGAATCTAATACGATTCTCCTCCATACTCCACAGGTCCCTCCAACTAAGCTTCCTCTTCTCTACACTTTCCCAATTCAACCACTGTCCCTGTTTAGCCTGGGCCACTACCTTTGCACCCCTTACTATCTCTTCCTGTCTGCGTATCTGTTCTACAACCAGCTTTCTTTTATCTTTGAGGCCTGCTGTATTCCATACCGGTTTACCTGAGCCAAGCCCCAGGCCTCCCCGGCCAAACTGAACATTACCTACAATCTCTGCATGTCTAAGAGCTGCCTCTGCCTCCTGAACTGCCGATCTTGGGTTCCACTTCCTCCCCTTGGTTGGATTTGGAACCACACTCCTAACTACCACGTCCTTACTCCCAGATAACAAGAGCTCTGTCCTGACCTTGGTACATTTAAATTCCTCTGTTAAACTAGATACTGGCAGCTGAAGTATCCCTTTTCCATACAATGCAACACTACTTAGGCACCTAGGAGCGCCCAACCACTTCCTAATGTAGGAGCTAACCGACCTTTCCATTCTCTCCACAACAGATATTGGAATTTCATAAACTGACAATGGCCACATTAACCTAGGATATAGCCCAAATTGCAAACACCACAACTTCAACTTTCCTGGAAGTTCTGATTTATCTATTCTATCCAATCCTTCAGCCACATCTTTTCTAAATTTCACCACCTGTTCCTTATCATTCAACTCTACATTGTAGCACCTACCTAAGCTCTTTACTGACTTTTCCCTAATTGTTGGGATGTCCTCATCATCTATGACAAACTTCCTATCACTTAACTTCCCTCTACATATCGAGATGCTTCTAGATTTACTAGGCTTGATTTTCAGGATGACAGGAGATTGGTTGTATAATTTTTACACCCAAAACACACCTGTGATTAATTAAGGGACTGAATACAACCCCTTTGCCCCTTGTGCCTCACTTTGCGCTCAGATTATGCACCGTTTGACGAGCAGATGTGGAGCTGGACTCTCCCTATATGCTCTCATGCCATGCACTTTAGACCATGTTATAGATTGTTTAAACAGAGCCCTAGGATTCATCCTCTGGGTACAATAAATGAAGTAGTCCAGTAGTTGCAACATTTTGCCTGGACCAAAATGTTCTACAGGGTAAATTAAAGGACCAACATCACCATCCAATAATTTGTTGGAGAACAAATTGAGAAAAATGAAATTAGAAAGTAAGAAAAGTGAGTATTAATTCTACTGATGTAGTCTTTTAAAGCCCCTCTTCAGATCATAAAACTGAGGCAGATATGTAATTTATGATTCTAGATTTTATAAATACCATCTTTTTATTTGCAAATGTTGACAAGCACAAAGTAAAGTAAACATGTACTCAGACTAATATTTTTTATTCTGACTTGACTTAATGTCGTAAAACAAAGAAACAACAAACAGAAATTCAGCACTGCTCTTTTTTCCATTTTAATATCAGTCAGCTGTGTCTTTTTGTTTTCTTTCCTCTTAAAATGAGCCCAAAGTGAAATATTTTCCATCTTCGCACAGCAGCATTTGGACTCATATGTTCCACAACAGGCCAGTGGAAGTGTCCAACATCTGGGACCAGTTTGCTGTTGTTTACTTTGTCAGAAAATAAAATGATAGAAATGCACCGCTGCTTTGGAAGATGGAGTTCAGCACTAACAGAGATCTGTGTCTCACTCTGCTGTTTCAAACACTCATCTTACACACCACATGTCCCAGTGTGGCTGCAGCGTCAGGTTCAGGTGTATTGTGCTGCCCTGACACTCGGAGGTAACCTCTGATGTGTCAGTCTGGATTTAGAAACACAGATTAGCGTTTGGTAATCTGGACTCTGCCGAAGTGCCCTCATCACCACGGCAACAGGGATCCAGTATAGATGGTGGTGATATTTAAACACACTTCATCCTTCGGAGGACCAGTGACCTACATACTGGCCATCAGAGACGTGTAATGGAAGCTGTGGGAGCGTAATGGTTAGAGTCAACTTCAAATCCATAAAGTGACTGGGAGAGGTTGTTAATCCTGCGGAGCAGCTGCTGGTGGAGGCCTGATGTGTGTGACTCTGTCAGACTGTAGACTGACTTTATTTAAATGTTAGAAAAAGAGCATGTGTACTTTGTTTTTGGTTTTATCCTCCCTTCCTTCCTTTTTTTATCCCTCCCTTCCCAAAAATCCAGACTTGGCCCTCGATCATAGCCTTTGGTTGGCTGCTGGACTTTTAAGTTCAAAATCTGATGTTGCATTAATTTAAAACGTATTTATGTACATAAATCAGTCACTCAATTAGTCATTCAAGCTCCAATCAGAGACGTTTTATGTTGGATTAGAAGTGTTTCACAAGTGGGAGCAATCCTACGGTGGCCAACAAGGGCAAATGTGCAACAATGACCAGAAACATTTCCACAAGGAGAAACATGCTGCAGCTTCAGAAATGATGCCAGTTAAAACATGGTGTCTGCAGGGTCTAAATCAAATGTTGGAAAATGAAGGCCCTTAAAAAGTATTTAAAAGTCTTAATTGCAATTTTATGAAGTATTAAATTTTCTTGGCATTCAAACTTGGACAAAAAGTATCCATGAATGTATAACTTATTTTCCTCCTCGTGACTATCACAAACGGTGTGTAGGTAGACACACTCGGACTGCCGCTCGGGCCGTGCGCGTACCTGTGCGACATCACGCGACGACGAAACAGAGGAGCAAAAGACAATAAAAAATCCTTCTCATCTTATCTGAGTTCTGTTGTATGTTTGTGCTCCATAGATTAAATTGCAAACTACAACTGTTTATTAAGTTAAAGACGCGTTGCTGCTAACGACAGCTTAAAGTGGCGATGAGGTCTTAAGGTTTTTTTGGAAGGTCTTAAAAATGTCTTCAAAAGGTATTGAAATTAACCTCAGGATTCCTGCATATACCCTGTAACAGATACATATGAAAAGTCAAAATAAATACAACAATGGAAACATGCTGCAAATGAAAAAATCTGCTTCAGAAAATCAAAACAAAAAAAGTCACAACAAACGTTGCAAATACAGAAACCATGCAAAGTCACAAACATACAAAGCCTGAAAACAAATATGTTTTTGTTCCCGTTATACATTTTGTTCTATTTATTTTGGATTTTCAGAAGCTTTTTTTTTAATTTGCATTGCTTCTGGAGCTGCAGCACGTTTCTCCAAATGGAAATGTTTTCGGCCGTTGAATGTTCAATCCAGGGTGCCACATCTGGAAATCTAAAATGCCTCTTAAGGAGAAACTTGTGTAAATCTCTCACACAACACCAACTGAAAATAATTACGTGACCTCTTGAAAACTTCAACAGAAGACTTTTTCATTTGTACTCATATTTCCGTTCTCCTCTCAGGCGTTCCAGCGGCAGGTTCACGAGCGTCTGACACAGCTGGAGCTGGTGAACAAACAGTATCGCCGTCTGGCCCGGGAGAACCGAACTGATGCTGCCAGCAAACTTAAAGTCATGGTCCATGAGGGAAACCAGAGGTGGGACAGCCTGCAGAGGAGGGTGGCCTCTGTTCTGCGCAGACTCAAGGTGAGACGAGGAGGAGATCTTACACTACAGCATATATTTACAGCTGTGTTGGAAGCTTCCTCAAACAGCAGCTAAAGATTGATAAATCAGCAGCAACAAACATGAAATTGAAAACAAATGAGTGAGATCAACTGTCAGAGAGTAAACATCAGCATGTGTCGGCCCTCTGCAGCTGATCTGTGGAGCATCTCCCCGCTCTCAGCTCTAAGCCGTCAGGATTTAGGTCACCTCTCAGACGGTGACGAGGCACGAGGCGTCACGTTGGCAGGAAGCCGTTTGCATGGCGGCATGTGGCGTTGAGCAGATGGAGGATGTTTATGTTGCTTTATAAAGGTTGCATGTAATCAAAGAACTCTGACTGGTGCTGTTGACCTCTGCGGGCTCGGCCCCTATAAGCCATATTCACATTTACAGATATGTGCAGCGGACCAGGGTCAGCTGTGATTAATGTACGAGAGAGAATGAACATAGGCCGACTGAGAGGAAGAAGAGAAGGGCTCAAATTGGATATATCATGGTGTTGAGATCAGGAATTCATTCAATTCATACATTTGCTCCTCTATTTTTCTTATCTGTGACTTTAAATCTTGAGTTCAGCACCACAGACAGAGGATGTGTGTAATAATTCCCATTTTTATTCTCTGTAGTGGTGTAACATAAACTCTGTTCCCACCAAACACTTTCAGTATGGCACCTTTGTAGCCAACAGTAACCCTTCAGACATGGTACCTAGGGTTTCCTGTTTATCGTCCACAGAACGAGGCTGCACGCCGACATTTTCAGAACAAACTAAAACAGGCTGCAGTGAGAGTCTCTCTCCTTGGGATATTTAAAAATACTCTTAACTACTGTTAGTCATACTGCTCTGAGTATCTTAACAGCATTCAATAATGATATCCGTCTTCCTGCAGCACTTCACCTCTCAGAGAGAAGACTTTGAGGGAACTCGTGAGGGGATCCTGGTCTGGCTGACAGAGATGGACCTGCAGCTCACCAACGTGGAGCACTTCTCCGAGAGCGACATCGAAGACAAGATGAGACAGCTGAACGTAAGTCTGCTACTGACTGTTACACTTTTGATAAATGATCACCTGCAGTGTGTCAGAAATTAGCACCCAGTTCTCATCTTTAACCAAACTGAATCTTTTTCTTCTTGTCATGCCACGCTCTGCAGGGCTTCCAGCAGGAGATCACCCTCAACACCAACAAGATCGACGCCCTGATCGTGTTCGGGGAGAACCTGATCCAGAAGAGCGCTCCTCTGGATGCCGTGTTGATCGAGGACGAGCTGGAGGAGCTGCACTCCTACTGCCAGGAGGTGTTCGGCAGAGTGGCTCGCTTCCACCACCGCCTTGTCAACAGACGCCCAGTCAGTGCCAAATATATACATTTATCTTTTTAATTACACCCAAACTCACAGATGTTTGAGGCCAGGATTGATGACAGATGAACATCTCACCAGACAACACAAGCTTTAAATACTTAATTCCTTCTTCTGTGTTTGTGTAGGTTCTGGAGGAGGAGAGGGAGCTGTCAGACCACGACACAGACCTGGACGACTCACCTGATCTGACCAACGGGACCTCCTGGAGCGAGGCGAGGAAGAAGGAGGGGGAGGTTTCAGCAGGAGGTGGAGTCTCAGCTGGACGGCAGGTCATGTGCCACCTCCTAGCGCCCCCTCTGGAGCGGTCGGGAAGAGAGACCCCCGTTAGCGTGGACTCCATCCCGCTGGAGTGGGACCACACTGTTGATGTGGGAGGATCGTCGTCACACGAAGACGACGAAGACTCCACCTTCTTCAGCGCCCTGTCAGGTAAACACATGCATTTTTGCTAAAACCTTACAATTTAAAACGCATAAACGGTCTCATGCACGGACGAGTAGCATGCCTGAGCTGTTTATGTAGAAAATTTTCTCCATAAATTCAACAAGTAAGTGATATATAAATGATGATTTGGGAGGTGAAATATTCCTTCGGTATACTTGACAGGGCTTCATAACGTGTGGAGCTCGTTCCAGACACTGTTGACCTCCACTCTTTCTTACAGACATGAAGGTCACAGAGAGCTCAGAGTCCTTTGTTAGAGCGACTGTCAGAGCAGTGAAAGCTGCGTCGGGTAGGCACTCTGCCTGCTGCATGCGTCTGCCTCACTGTGTGCTTATGGGCCTGCATCCCGTCTCCTAGCAACCCCACATCCCCATCCCTCATCTAAGTCACAGACTCCTTGTTTTTCCTAGTTTTGCCTCATGTTGTGTACCTTCAGTTACAGGAGTAGCTGCACACTACGACAATTTATCATTGACTGATATCAATGACATATAAAGTACAAAGACCTGCATGATGTGATAATGGGTGCTGTTTACTTGTGCAGTCCATTTGTTTTGATGCTGTTTTTGCATGTTGTATTTGACAGAAACTTCAGTTTTACGCATGCGTCAGGTGTTCTGTTTGTTCATAAGACTGTGTGATACCTCAGGGATGATTCTTATGGTCTTTGTTTTTCAATTATCGCTCTGTTTTCTCTCTGTGGTTCATTGTTTAACCTTTTTGGTTTCACTCCTCTTTCCATTTCTTCTTATTTGTTACAACATTTTTACTGAACTCTTTCCTTTTCTCTCTCCTCAGTGAAGTCAGTGACCGACCCGCCTAGCTGGCACCAGCCCGGCTCCCCAGAGAGGAAACGAGTCCCCCGAGAGATGATCCGAGGCCTGAGCTCATCTCCCACACACACCACCAGCACTCCATTCCACCAGCAGGGCTACGTAAGGACGCACAAACCAAGAGTCACACATCTTAAAGCTTCTGTGTCCAAAGGAATTTAAGTGTTTGAGGTTAAAGTGATGTGGACGCACACTGTGTTCAGGTTAAGCTGATGTCGGAGTGCAGTGGCAGCATCAACACTGTGAAGAGAGTCAAGCTGATCCTGAACGATGAGGAGGAGCTGGAGGGTTCGGGTCTGACCAGCAGCACGGCCGACAAACAGACCAGCACAGGTACGCTGACTGAGAGGAAACAGCAGAGTGAGAGGTGTCACTCTGATGGAGGTCCTGCAAGTTGAAATGACAATCTAACAATATATCATGAATCACTTCACAGCAGTGTTCGACAGTGTTTCATTAACTGTGACTGTCTGTGCAGGTGTGATCGAGCGCTGGGAGCTGCTACAAGCACAGAAGTTCAACAACGAGACGGACATTAAGCAGGACCTGGAGCAGTGGCGGAAGCTGAACTCTGACCTCTGTGACGTCACTTCCTGGTTGGGCAGGGTGCTGCCAGAGCTGGAGAGGCTACAGCGGATCGCACCGTCCACCAGTATCCGAGACATCGAAATCAACATCAGGAAACATAAGGTGCAGCAGCAGCACCGTCTAATCATATAGACAGATACACACTTCATCACATCCACACTGATATTTATCTCCTGCCTGTTTCATCTAGGAGATGCAGAAAACCTTCAACAGCTACAAGTGTCTCATGATCTCTGCCAACCTGAGCAGCCGCCACTTCCTGCGGGGCGACAGCGCCGAGCTGCGGGAGCTGCAGGAGGCTCTCAGCTCAGCCAATCACAGCTGGACGCAGGCCTGCAGCGGCCTGGAGAGCTGGGAGAGGAGGCTGCACTCTGCACTCATGCAGTGTCAGGTCAGACATGGACACTCACTGCAGTTAAACCTGTCTGTCATCGATGAACACATGTACAGCTTAGAATACAGAGTCAAAATAATACACATAGTTTTGATTAACATTTAAATGAATAACGAAAGACGAGCTGCTCCTACGACCTCTGACCTCTGTGTTCTTCTTCAGGAGTTTAATGAGACGCTGCACTCCCTGCTGTTGTGGCTCGCTCAGGCTGAGAACACACTCAGCGCTGTGAATGTCAGCTACCAGTCGACGTCACGCGCCGCCCTGCTGGAGCACAGAGACATGCTGAGGGTGAGCAAATTTACATCAGGAGGGAAAAAACACGATTTATGCTATATCACAATACAGCATTATCAAAAATCTAGCATGATATATTGTCTCATATCTTGATACTGATATAATATCTTCATATTGTTCAGCCCCAATACAACTTTGTCTCAATTATTTGTCATGAAATCATGGAATTACAGTCAGGTCCATAATTATTTGGACAATGATATAGTTGTCGTCATTTTGGCTCTGTACACCACCACTATGGGTTTTTAATGAAACAATGAATACCTGCTTAAAGTGCAGACTCTCAGCTTTCATTTAAGGCTTTTTTCAAAAATGTAGTATGAACCGTGTAGGAATTACAACCATTTCTTCACACAGTCCCCCGACTTTAAGGGCTCATAAGTATTTGGACAAACTAACATAATCATCAATTAAACAGTCAGTTTTAATACTTGGTTGCAAATCCTTTACAGTCAATGACTGCCTGAAGTGTTGGACACATAGGCATCATCAGATGCTGGGTTTCTTCCCTGGTGATGCTCTGCCAGCCCTTTACTGCAGCCGTCTGCACTTCCTGCTTGTGTTTTGGGTGTTTTGCCCTCAGTTTTGGCTTCAGCAAGAGAAACGCATGCTCAGTTGGATTCAGGTCAGATGATATGACATGACCATTGCAGAACATTCCACTTCTTTGCCTTAAAAATGTCTTTGGTTGCTTTTGCAGTATGCTTCAGGTCAATGTCCATCTGCACTGTGAAGCATCGTCTAATGAGTTTTGAAGCATTTGGTTGAATCTGAGCAGATAATGGCGCCCCAAACACTTCAGCGTTTCTCTTGCTGAAGCCAAAACTGAGGGCAAAACACCCAAAACACAAGCAGGAAGTGCAGACGGCTGCAGTAAAGGGCTGGCAGAGCATCACCAGGGAAGAAACCCAGAATCTGATGATGCCTATGTGTCCAACACTTCAGGCAGTCATTGACTGTAAAGGATTTGCAACCAAGTATTAAAACTGACTGTTTAATTGATGATTATGTTAGTTTGTCCAAATACTTATGAGCCCTTAAAGTCGGGGGACTGTGTGAAGAAATGGTTGTCATTCCTACACGGTTCATACTACATTTTTGAAAAAAGCCTTAAATGAAAGCTGAGAGTCTGCACTTTAAGCAGGTATTCATTGTTTCATTTAAAACCCATTGTGGTGGTGTACAGAGCCAAAATGATGACAACTGTATCATTGTCCAAATAATTATGGACCTGACTGTAGGTAGAAAAAAAATGTCTGCTGCACAGTTTTTCACAAAAACCAAAACCTGTGTTGTGCAAACAGACTCACAGCCAACAAATGAGACAAGAGAAAACAGAGGTGTGACATGTTTATGTTGACCAAAGCTCAGTTTTAATTTACTAGATACAGATGTTACAATATCATCAGTGGCATGTGTATTCCAGTCTGCCCTGAGCTTTAACAGGAACAAATCTGCATAAATCTGAACATGTACACATGTACATGAATAATTTGACAAACCCTACTTTGATCCCAATGAAGACTGAACTGAAACTCATTTATCAGACACAGAATTCCAGGATGTTTAACTGTTTGTTGAGTCTCAGCTGTGACCTGACTGCTGTGCTCTCTGTCGCCCCCTGCTGCAGGCTCTGCAGGAGGAGCTCTGCAGCCGCCAGCGGCAGGTCTCCTCGCTGCAGGAGATCTCCTCTCAGCTCCTCCTGGAGGCCACCGGAGAAGACAGCGTGGAGGCCAAGGAGAAGGTCCACGTCATCGGCAACAAACTGCATCTCCTTCTGCGACAGGTGGCTGCTGACCTGCACACGCTGCAGGGGAGACTGGTGGGTCCTTCTCTCAGTCTGTTTACACTATGATGTGATGTAGTTTTCATACTCTCAGTGTTTTTCCTGACAGATGGTGTTAAAATTTGCTAGAGATCAAAATGTAATGAGCTGATCAAAGTAAATTACAGCTGTATACATTTTTAACATATACATATATAAAGCACACCTTCAGTTTGAGGTGCTTGTTGCCACAGACACTGCTCAGGTCATTACATAATGTTTTATAACCTGCCTGTCAGTATCACTTAGTAATTAAGAGGTAAAATGGACATTTGTTTTTATAGACTGAACCCTAGGAAAACCTTAAGGCAGGGAAAAACTTATGACTCTGGCTTATATAAATAAACCTGACCTGACAAGTAGCATCTGACATCTGTTGAAATATCTGTCTGTATCAGAGGGAAATAAAAAGATAAAATAAAATGAATGTATGTATGTCACTTTAGTGTTCAAGATTCCACAAAACAAAAACCATAAATGAGATATTATCAAAGTTAAAGTAAGGCCTTCATCAGTCTTATCTGATGGTCTGTTTGCTGTCTGTGTGTCAGGAAACCTGCTCAACCAGCTCGGAGTTGGACAGCATTGGTCTGGGAACACTCCACTCTCCTCTGCTGCTGCACAAGGTACATTCATATTTACCTTTCCTTTCTACCCTCCACAGGCTGCAGGCTTACAACTGTGACCCACAGTAACTTATGAACTTTAACTCAAACACTAACATTAGGTCAGGTTATTTGTTGTCTAGATTAATGTAAGGATATATTTTATTGATATTGCCTCAAAAATTACAGTGCTGTAGAAAGAATTCAAATTATTTAAGTAAAAAATGCAGTATTTCACAGTGAAAATGCTAAATTGCAACCGAACATTCCTGCACATACATGCTGATTATCAAAACAAAAAATGTCATACAATAGTAAGCATAATTTCATGAATAAACTCATGATAAACTCATAGTATGCCATAAAAATATCATAGGTTAGTTTTACTTTAAACTGTCATAGAAGAGTATGCCAAAATTAATCAAACTGAAAAAATGTTATTGTATGCTGCAGCATAAAAATTTGGTTTAAAAACAAAAAAAAAGGGGGTAAAAACGTCATAGTATAGTATGTCGAAAAAAATAACAAAATAAACGCCATAGTATAGTATCTCGAACAAAGTGGTAAAAACGCCATAGTATAGTATGTCGAAAAAAGTGGTAAAAACGCCATAGTATAGTATGTCGAAAAAGTAGAAAAGATAAACGCTATAGTATAGTATGTCAGAAAAAGTGATAAAGATGCCATAGTATACTATGTCGAAAAAAGTAAAAAAAATAAACGTATAGTATGTTGAAAAAAGTGGTAAATATATCATAGTATTGTATGTCGACAAAAGTGATTAAAAAAAAAAAAGCCATACTAAAGTATGTCGAAAGTGATATGTGATAAAAATGTCATAGTATAGTATGTCGCAAAAAATGGTAAAAATATCACAGTATAGTATGTCGAAAAAGTGATAAAAACGTATAGTATGTCGAAAAAAGTGATAAAAACCCCAAAGTATAGTATGTTGAAAAAGTGATAAAAACGCCATAGTATAGTATGTCGAAAAAAGTGATAAAAATCCCAAAGTATAGTATGTTGAAAAAGTGATAAAAACGCCATAGTATAGTATGTCGAAAAAAGTG